CAGAGATAAAGGGCTGGAGAGGAAGAGGCTGCCCACAGGGGTAGGCAGACGGAGGCTCTCCATGGTTGCATTGCTTTCTGGGGCAAGTAGTTCCCAATGGACACAATGGGGAAAACTGAAGCCCAAGGGCTCAAAGTCATATGTTAGGCCAGAGGCCAACATAGGCAAATACGCATAGCCTGAGCGCTGTCCCTTAACTTTTTACTCAAGGCTGGCCCTCTACCACTTGAGCCATTCTTCCACTTCTGGCTCTGTGTGTGTGTGTGTGTGTGTGTGTGTGTGTGTGTGTGTGTGTGTGTGTGTGTGTGTGTGTGTGTGTGTGTGTGTGCCATTCCGGGGGCTTGAACTCAGGGCATGGGAACTGTCCCTGAGCTTTTTTTGTTGCTCGAGGCTAGTGTTCTACCACTTGAGCCACAGCTCCACTTTTAGCTTTTGGCCTTTTTTTTTTTTTTTTGGTAACTAATTGGAGATAAAAGTCTTATGGATTTTTCCTGCCCAGTCTGGCTTTGAAGCATAATCCTCAGATCCCAGCCTCTTGAACGATTATAGGCATGAGCCACCAGCGACCAACTTTTAGACTGGAAATTGTGTGTAGATGTGTGGATGTGTTCACACACACGTGTGTGTGTGTGTGTGCGTGAGAGAGAGAGAGAGAGAGAGAGAGAGAGAGGGAGGGTCTCCTGGGGCTTGAACTCAGGGCCTGGGTGCTATCTCTCAGCTTTTATACTCAAGGCTAGTGTTCTAGCACTTGATCCACAACTCTACTTCTGGCTTTTTGGTGGTTAATTGAAAATTAGAGTCTCTTGGGTTTGTCTGCATGGGCTGACTTCAAACCAGGATCCTCAGATCTCAGCTAGGATTACAGGTGTGAGCCTCTGGCACCTGACCAAGCTGGGATTTTTGAACAAGGTTACAGGGGCTACATAAGAGCTGATCAAGACTGACTAGAGGGTCCAGTTAGAAGTGAGGAGAGAGCAGAGAGCTCTTTTGCATGAAGAGCCCACAAGAGGAAGAGGAGCCAGCTATTTGTTTAAGCAAACTCTAGCTAACAAATCGGGGGGCAGGGAGGCGTGCACAGGCTTACTCTCCTCATGGTCCCCCAGTTCAGTGCTTACAGAGGAGAGATAAACTAACATATTGACTTGTATGGCCTTAAGCAGGTTACTTGACCTCCCTAAGCCTCGACATCTTCATCTGCACCATGGGATCCTGTAGTGAGGATGACTGGAGGTGATACAGGTAGAAGTGCATTTAGTAAATGCTCAATAAACAGCAGCACCCTTTTGACTCTTGCTCAGCCTAGCATCTTAGATTCAGTGAGAGCACAGTGAGCCCAAGGTGGGGGACTTCAGAGGAATGGGGTATCCTACCCCAGGATGTGTCTGAAGAATGGGATGGCGTAGCACTGAGGACCCTGGAGCAGCATGGGGGTGCGGGGGGGTCCCCACACCCCAGACCTCTCTGCCTCTGCTCTTTTTGCATCATAAAATAGTCCCTGATTCGTTCAGAAACTCCTGTGTCACTTGGGCTGATCTCTCCGCCACTGTGGAGTCCTGGCCACTGCCTCCATCACGCTATTACTCCATCACAGCTTCTTTTTCCTCTCGGGCTCACACACATGTCCTGCTTCCTTCCACTCAGGACTGGTCGGCCAGTTCTAGAGGAATGTATGCCCCTGGCTCAGGCCTTGTTTGGACAGATCCTTGGCCCCACTTCCTAGTGCCCTGACCCACAAGTCACCTCCTCGTGAAAGTCTTCCCTGGCCTCCTAGTCCTGCCTTTGCCAAGATGTACTGTCACTTTTAGGGTGATTATTTGCTTCATCCCTGTGCCTACTGCATACCCCTGCTGCAGTACTGACTACACTTGCAGCACTGTTACTCTAGATGATATCTACCTACCTATCTTTCTATTTATCTATCTATCTATCTATTTTGTGCAGGTACTGGGACTTGAACTCAGGGCTTTGCACTCTCTCAGTGTTTTCACTTAAGGCTGCCGCTTTACCATTTGAGCCACACCTCCACTTCTGACTTTTTGCTGATTAATTAGAGATAAAAGTCTCCTACAGGCTTTGAACTTTGGTCCTCAAATCTCAGCTTCCTGAGTAGCTAGAATTACAGGCATGAGCCACCAACTCCCAAATATAGAAAGTTTTTTTTAACCAAAGACCTTGTAGTACTTCTGTGTCAAAGAATGTCTATGGGAACTAATGGATTCCTGCACCTTTCCCACCCAGTGAGCCTGCAGCAAGGTCTGACTTAGCATGCTCTCAGAGTGAAGTATATGCCAAGCTCCTCTTCTACCAGGATCTTAACTGCAGACCTCCAGCAGTCTGTATTCCAGGATGCCCACTTCTTGATGGATGGTCCTTCAGAAAGTACTGGATTATGTGCAAGTTTCTCTCTCTGGTCCCAAGTCTGTCCTGCCCCTCCATAAATGCAACTCCTACTCCCGGCCTTCTCTTCCTCCAGTCCAAGCAGCCCTCTTTACTCCAGATCTGAGAGTGGAGTTCAGTGCCTTCAAGCCTCTTCTCTCTCCTCTGCACCTTTCATCTTGTCATTGGTCCTTTCAGAGACTGAGCCTTGTGTGGACCCGAGCTCCAGATGACTTCTGAGGAAAACCTTACAAATATGTCCACTTGCCTGTCTGAAAACCTGCCCTTGCCTGCTCAGGCAGTCCGAGCTTCACAGTGTCACAAGCTCAGCCATGTTACAGTGACCCAGGTAGATCCCTTCCTCTCACCTTCCTTCAGTCAGCCTTCATTTCACTAGGTAACATGGGTTCTACACCTTTCCTGCACCTCAGTGCTTCTGTCCATACAATGGGTTGGCTTCTTTTCATAGAAAGGGATCCCTGGGCTTATGGCTATATATAAGAACAAGGTTCCGACCAGGGTAACTTCAAGGTCATTTGTGCAGCCATATGTCCCAGTTTACAAGGGCTGCATGTTTGGTTGAAAACTCTGACATCACCATCCTGAAATTCTAGATTGTATGTGTGCGTGTATATGGGCACGTGTGTGTTATATGTGTGTGTGTGCACGCATGTGTTTAATTGGACACAAGTGTCTTCGAGATTTGGATGCCAGCAGCTTGTGCTTATAATTCTTACTATTCAGGAGGCTGAGACCTGAGGATTACAGTTTGAAGCTAACCTGGGCAGGAAAGCCCATGACACTCTTATGTAAAAAGAAGGAGGAGGGGGAAGAGGAGGAAGAGGAAGAGGTGGCAGCAGCAGAGAAGCCAGAAGTGGAGGTATGGCTCAAAGTGGTAGAGTACTAGCCTTAATCGTAAAAAGTACAGGGACTGCACTCAGGTCCTAGGTTCAAGCCCTAGGACCAGCACAGTTTTTAAAAAAGTCTCTTGGAATTTCCTGCCTGGGGCGGCTTCAAACCACAGTCCTACTCAGCCTCCTGGGTAACTAGGATTATAGGCATGAGCCACTAGTACTCAGTTTAGGTAATTTTTTTTTTTTAACAAGGGACCTTGCATTTTCATTTTATACTGAGCTCTGCAAATTATATCCTGACGTTGATCCATATATCTAGCCCTGAGATGATGCTGACCATCCCTGGCTAATGTGGTGACCCAGAAGAAAAATAAGATCCTCATTCTGCCTCTCTTAAGAGTCCATACATTCTGGCACATGTAGGTCCCCTTCCCACCAGGAAGTGCAGGAAGACCAAATCCCAAAGGACACTCTGTAATGCTCCTTAGAGCTGAGTCCCTCTGTGGAAGATTACTGCGGTCTTCCGGACCCAGACCTGTGTCTTTCATGAATCCTTCCCTGGATTCCTTGGCTTTACCCTCCACTTTTTGCATCAGTTGGAATACTTGGACTACGAACTATGTCAAACAATACCTAGGAATTTGAATTAATTGTGTTGATAGATGTAAGAAAATGTCCATGTGCCTTAAAGTTGCATGCTGAAGTATGGAAGAGTAAAGCAACATGCCATTTGGAATTGGTTTTGAAATACGTTGGGCGCTAGTGGCTCACACCTGCAATTGTAGGCTGGATTCTGAGAGCACAGTTCAAAGGCAGCCCAAAGAGTCCACAGACTCTTATCACCAAGTAACCAGTTCAAAGCTGAAAATGGAGATGTGGCTCAAGTGATAGAGCACTAGCCTTGAGCAGAAAAGTCAAATGAGAGCTCAAGGCCATGAGTTCAAGCCTCAGTACTGGCATGCGCACAACAAAAGTAACACAATAAAATAAAATAAGAAGTGGAAAATTAAATAAAAATTTGGGGAAAGGATAGGGAGATAGGGAGTGGTCGAGGGTCCAAGGTTCTACTGTGTAGAACCAAATCAATAGTCATTATAATAAGAGTAAGGTGGAGTTTCCCAGGATGCCCCCCCCCCAGGACCCCTTGCCCCACACCTTTGAGGACTTTCTCTGGAGAGCCAACCAAGTAAAACCCCCAATAGTAGGCAGAGTCATGCATGTGCATATGTGCATTTGCCCAGAGAAGTTCCACAGCTTTCATCTAAGACCAGAGGGGTCATGACCCTTCCTCCACCCCTCCCAAAAGACTAGTGCTACCTTACAGACCCAAGCGACCGAACCCCAACCCCGCTGCAAGTCCAGCCTTGCCCTCCTCACCCCAAGCGAGGTGCTGGGCCCTGGGCGCGGTGTGAAGCTTGCCTGGGTCTCCCCGTTTCTCACACTTGCTGGTGTCTCCACCTGTCAGGTAGGGGCCTGGGGAGATAGGCCTGGCCACACTCCTCAGGTAGCGGTGGCTGGGCCCGTCCTAGGCCAGGCCGCACACTCCCCAGCCCCCTCCGAGCCTGGCCTGCCCACCTCCCGCTTGGGGCGGCAATTTGTCTCCTTTTGAACCCCTTGCCCCCAACGGGTTTCCCCCTTTGATTCTCGGTGCTGAGGCTTCCCCCTGCTTTGAAATGCAAACCCGCCTCGGCTGGGGCTGCGGGTGGCCCCGGGCTATAAAAGGCCTGGGTGGGGCGGGCGGCGGCGGGCGGGCAGCGCAGGTGAGCCGTGGCTGGTCCTCGGGGCGCCCGGCAGCCGCGGCTCCAGGGCCCAGCATGCGCGGGGGGCCCCGCGGCCACCATGTACGTGGGCTATGTGCTGGACAAGGACTCTCCCGTGTACCCCGGCCCTGCCAGGCCCCCCAGCCTCGGCCTGGGCCCCCAGGCCTACGGTCCCCCGGCCCCACACCCTGCACCCCCGCAGTACCCCGACTTCGCCAGCTACACTCACGTGGAGCCGCCCCCCGCGCCCCCTCCGGCCTGGGGCGCGCCCTTTCCTGCGCCCAAGGACGACTGGACGGCGGCCTACGGCCCTGGGCCTGCGGCCCCAGCGGCCAACCCAGCCCCGCTGGCATTCGGGCCCCCTCCGGACTTTAGCCCGGTGCCCGCACCCCCCGGGCCGGGCCCGGGCCTCCTGGCGCAGCCCCTGGGCGGCGCGGGCGCCCCGTCCTCCCCGGGGGCGCAGCGGCGGACGCCCTACGAGTGGATGCGTCGCAGCGTGGCGGCCGGAGGCGGCGGCGGCAGCGGTAAGACCCCAGCGGGAGCCCCGGGGCCCCGGCCGGCACCCCGGCCTTGGCAGGTGCCGGCGGCCCAGGCCGGCCCTGGCCTGGCTTGGTCGCTCTTGCCCAGAACCGTGCTGTGGGGGAGGGGGGGGGGTGGCCCACGGAACCCTCCTGGATAGACAAGGAAACCGAGCCGGCGAAGAAACGGTGCGGGCTGGGCACGGCCAGGCGGATCGAAGAGGCAAGCCCTGGACTAAGATCGCAGGCCTTCCCAGGCTTCGAGCAGCGGGGACCAGGGTTGCTTCTTCTCCCGCCCCAGGAGGGGCTGCAAGCCCACCCAGAGGCCCCTCCGCCACCGCGTGAGCGAGCGTGGTCACGTCCGTGCTGGGCCCTGCCGGGGCCTGCGGTGAAGGGACAAGGCCCGATCCTCCCTGTGGTTAGTGAGGGGTTAGGGTCTGCACCTAGCCTAGGCGGGGCCCTCTCTGAACTCTTGACCCCAGGGGGAGGGGCAGCCGGAGCAGTTGGGAAGGTGGCTACTGTTTGGCTCGAGCCTGTGAACCTCTTGCCCCCAGGCAGGCCTCTCTGATCCACTCTCTTCAAAGGCCGGGGAAGGGGGCAGGACAAAGGCTCAGCTTTAATGAGGGGCGGCTTGACCTTTATGGGCCCCCCCCCTTTGTCATGTAACAGGCTGTGTCTCAGCTCAGTAGTGACTCCTGCTGGCTGGGAAGTGAACAGGACACTCCATTGTCCAGATTGTGTTCTTCTTGTTCTGACAAAGACCACCTGGCCTTGGGGGCGGGAAGCTGGCCTGCTCCTCCTTTGATGTGGGTCTCCTCCCTTCCTCCTCCCCCACCCTTGCAGCTGCAGCAAGCCGGGGACACTTCCCTCACCTCCTCTGTCTCCTCACCCCCACCTTCCACGGTACCCACGTACTCCTGGGCTGATGCTGAGGGGGTGGTCAGTAGACAGTCTCTGACTGTGCCCTGAATCTCCTTGGAAGTACGTTTCCTGACTGCATCCAGGGAGATGCAGGTCACCAGCTCTGCTACTCGTTTAACGCTATGATTTCACCTACTTGAAAATGGAGAGACTATGGCACTGAGAAATTCATCATTTGCCCAAGGCCACATAACCCTTCACTAGGAGGGCTGGGATTTGAACTCAGGTTAATTAACAACCATACTTGTGTTCTAATCCCCTACCCAACCAGTTCCCAGAAGATGAGTCATTTTTTTCTGGGTCTAGCTTTTACTTTTGGTGAAATAGGAGAGGAACAAGGTTATATGGCTTGTCGTGAGTTACAGACTCTGGAGAACTCAGGAAGTCCCCATTTTCCCCCAGGGGGAAGGTTCCAGAGGCCTCCAGAGGCTTTGCAAATGTTCTGGGAATAAGAATAATGCCACATTTGAGGGTCTGAGAGGAGGTGAGGGCCTTGCCCACGGCACCCTGCGAGCTAGGGCTGGGAAGCCTAGAGTAGTAAGCTGCCTTTCCTCTTCCACCTGTCTCCTGCTGATGGGAAGGCACCCTGTGGGAAGGCCTTCAGGGGGCCATGCTGGGGGTTGGAGGATGGAGCATTGCAGGCTGTGTGATGTCAGACAAGTCACATTGCCTCTCTAGCACGAGAGCTGTATATCCCAGCAGCCTGTCTGCTCAGATCATGTGACTGTTACTACTGGTGTTTCCAAAGTGGAGACCATACTTTTCCCCTCAGTTTCTCTCTTGGGGTTGAGAAGGCATAGGTTCTGGTGTAATGCTGCTGCCTGGGACAGCTGAGAGAAGTCACTTCATGTCACTGCTCCCCAGCTCCCAGTGATACTGCCTACCTGTTCTTCAGGCTGCTGAGCCCCTTGTGTTTTAGACTATTTGAACAGTTAGAAAGAAGATATATGAATGGAAATTGAGGTCCAGAGACTGCAAGGCAGGCTGATTGGGGTAGATGGATGTTGGCTTCTTTTCTGTGGTTCTATAATGAACTCCCATGTACCTTCCTGAGCTCGGAAGATGATCCAACCCCCATGTCTGGGCCTCATCTCCCTCCCCTGCCTCATCCTGGGCCACTCCATTTGGCCACTCGGCCTTCCTTGAGTTCTTTGGGCTTGTCAAGGCTTGCTTCAGATGCACCTGTGGTTCCTTCTTCCAGCAACGTTTTTCCTCTTGATTCCTTGAATGCCTGGCTCGTTCTTACCCTCCAGATCATAGTTTAATAGTCACCTCCATGATCCCCAAATTAGACAATTCCATGTCCGCTGATCATCTTTTCCACGTTCCCCTTATAGCACTAACTCCAATTCCAATTTACTCTCATACTTGCATGTATGTTTGAATGGTATCTATACCCAAGTGCCTCAGAGGCATGTCTGATCTGCTATTGTGCCAGGGTACAAAGTGCAGTGTGTGGATCTAGCAAGTGCTCTATGCATTTTATGAATGAACCAACTGGGCAGTGTAAGGGACAGGAAATGCCTGTGGGAGGACAGAGGGGAGGAAGATCTTGGTTTCCACATTTGCTTCTGGGGTCACTACCTGGAGATTGGACCCATGACTGCACAGGCAGCAGATTGGGCTAGTAGTGGAAGCAACCTCCTCACCATATTGGCACAGTGCTCCTGACTCACCTGGGGAGTTGAGTTGCTGAGGCTGGGGCTGAGACTTGTCTCTGTTCTATGCAGGAAGGGGTAAGGGAGAGCCTAGTGGGCCTCAGCTAGGCTGTGGTCCCCAGTCCAAGTGAGTGGTATTACCTGATGGGAGCCAAGTAGGAGTGGCCAGCAGGGGCTGTGTTGAGTTCTCTTACCTCCCTGTTTTCACACATGTCAGCATCCAGTGGCAGGGCTGCCGTCACCCCTCTGGTAGGCTCAGCCTAACTCCATGTGACCCAACCACCCATCAGGGTAGCTGAGGATTTACAGGTGTTCACACAGATTACAAGACTTGTACTGCAGGGCTTAGGTTCTAGCCCAATTCCTTCATTTCTCAGATGGGGAAACTAAGGCACATGGAGAAGGCCCTGTCTCTTAGTCCATTGCCACAGTCACTAACCTGATCCCTTACCCTCAGCCTCCCAAGGATGCTCCTGCTATCTTCTATACCACTGCTAAACTTACCAAGGCCCCCCCCTGCTCAAGAGGATCCCTTAGTTCCCCACCGGGGTGGAATGGTTACTTCACTGGAAAAATCTAGCCCTATTCTACAGCATTCAGAGCCCGCTTTGGAAGTAGTCCCAACACAGTGCTGAGACACTGTCTCTCTACTTAGCTTGGACATCAGCCATGATGCTCACTAGGGACAGGTAAGAACCAGGCTGGGGAGTCTCGGATCTGGGGTTACAGTTCCATTAGTGGCTGTGAAGCCCTAAAGCACAGGAACTTGGACCATTTCTGAGAGCTGCGTTTTTCTCCTTTGTAGCATTAGAACACCTTGAAGCTTGCACACAGGTGGTAGATGCCTCTACTGTCACACCTCACACCTCTTGCCTTCCCAGTCTGGGCCTATGACCTGGCCTGCCCTCCTTTCTCTTGTATCTTCACTAGTTCAAATGCTGCTCCATCTCTGAAGGAAGCCCTGCTTCATTCTTCTCTCTGCTGCAAGTTCTCTTCGGGCTATTGTTTTAGCAACACGTATCAATTATTATCTACTTTGAATTTCTGTCAGCTGCTGTCTGTTATTCCTTTGAGGACCTACCATGACTTGCACATAGTAGGAGCTCATGATAAAACTAATGAATGGCACTGGCAGAAGTTCTACGACATAGCAGGGACTGTGCCAAGAGCTTTTCTTGGTAACCTCGCTTGTCTCATAATAGCTCCAAGAGGTGTAAGGATATTAATGAGCTCAGTTTACAAATGAAACTGACAAGGCTCAGAGAGGTAAGGTATCCTGCCCAAGCTTACACGGCTAGGGAATGACAGCGTGTGGTTAGGGCCAGAGTCCACAGCCCACTGAGCCTCTGTCTAATGAATCAGCACACTCTCCAGGACTCAGCCTGAGCCCCCTCCCCCTTCCATGTGGTTCCAGCCCCAGGTGGGGAAAGGAGGCCAGCCAGGGAGGATATGAGGGACTGGGTGTGGGACAAGGGAGGGCTCACAGCAGGGCTGTTTAAAGTTGGTTCTCAAGGCAGAAGCTCCACTTGACACCTCAGCTCTCAGATGTAGCTGGGAAGAGGAATGACCTAGTTAGAAAGAAGGTGGCAGGAGGCTTTTTTTGGTTGAAGGTTGTTCCCCTCTCTATCCCTTTAGCGCTAGTAGATTTTGCTGCTTGGAGCCCAGGGGATTGCTCTGCAGGGGCAAAGGCATTGCTAGCAGCAGGGCCTGCTTTTCAGTGGACAGTCCGGTGTCTTCACAGCTGGCCTCTCAGGCTTCTGTCTTGGCGATCCATAAGCAATAATTACACGTAAGAGTTGGAGCCATCATGTTTACATGCCAAATACTCTCTGTGCCTCCTCTCCCCTAACCCCTACTTCAGAGCAAAGAAGGAACCAGCTGTGGATTGCTGCTTTATGCTCAGTATCTTCCTATGCCCTCTTGCTGCTCTTGTATTCAGCCCAGCCCCTCTTCTGGAGGACCTAGTAGCCCTCTAGCCTCATCTTGTGCCTTCTTACCCATCCATTCATTCTTCATCCATCCATCCATTCACGTACCCCTTCATCCATCTCCTTCCATCTGTCCATTCATTCAACCATTCATTCATCCATCAATTCATTCATCCATCCATCCATTCATCCATTCATTTACCCATTCATCCATCTTCCATCTGTCCACCAATCCATCCTTCCAGTCTTTCAGCCTTTCATTTATCCATCAATTCATTCATTCATTCATTCATACATACATCCACCTATTTACCGTTACTCATTCATATATTCTTTATTCAGAAGGCAGACAGGACTGTTCTGTTCTGTGCCAAAGATTTTTCTAGGTGCTGGAGACTATGATTGAATAAGTCTGGTGGCATTTATCCATAAAGAGCTGGCACTGGACCCTCACCCTGCTCCCCCCTGCCTGAGGGCTTTTGCACAGGATATTGCCTCT